TTGGAGAGGTTTTTGCTACAGGGCGCGTGCACTCGCCAGAAAGACAGAGAGAGAAAGACAGAAAGCGAGAAATCATCCCCCAGGGGGGATGGCCACGCCGCAATCCCTTCTCCTCCTTTCTCCTCTCGGGATCTTGGGCACGTGCACACACACGCCCGGCGTCAGTTTTAAGCCACCAGGTCCAGGACGCGAACCGCAGTCAACTACGCAGGAGTCCAGCAACATAGCCATTACGCTAACTGCTGGTCCCAGGGATTTTTTAATAAAGAATTTCAAGCCGGGACAATATAAATCTGCTTTGTCAAGGAAAGAAAGGTCTTTGTGCTCATTCTCTTCCTGAGGAAACACTAAGGTCCCTTTTCTGGGTTACCATGGCTTCCTGTGATCCATAGAAGACTTGAGTGTCAGGAGATACAACTAGGAAGTCCTTGCAAAAAACCATTTTTGTGTATCTGTCCCCAAGGCTTGGTCTAGTAGTTCTCAGATGTCAATAGGCACAGAACTCACATCTGGAACCTGTTATAAATTCCTACCTCAAACCCCTTGGGAATTGGTCCAATTGGTCCTGCCCTAGCAGGACAAGAAATCTGCATTTTACGCAAATTTTCCTCACAGCCACCCTATCATGTGATTCGGACATTAGTTCAAACCAACCCACAATGAGGAACATTGCCTAAGTCCAAGGTTATACTTGAGGTTGGGACACAGGGAATGAGAAGAATCTTTCCACTTCTTTGGCCCAGGAAGTAGTGGAGACATATGAATGAAACGGGGGTTCCTAGTTGCTGGATTTAGTCTGGATCCATCACGTATCTTTCATGTCCAATTATTTCCAATTTAGAGTTTTTAAAAGACAACCATCTTTTACATAACTCAATCCTTTTCTTCCACAAAATATTAGGCAAGTTTCAAAAAGCAAAATTAAGTATTTTTTCCCTCAATCTGCTTCTAGAATTTATATAACCTACCATTAAGTGTCGTCATGATTTCAAAACAGAACCAGGGGGATGTGAATATAACAAATGAATGTTGCTTTCTGCCCCTCAATACTACTTTTTTTTTTTCCCCTTACACAGCTATGAATTCCAAGTGAAACCCAAAAATCCGCTTGGTGAAGGCCCAGCCAGCAACACAGTGGCATTCAGTACAGAATCAGGTAATCAAAACAGTAACTCCAAGAATGGAGCAGGCCACAGTGGAACAATGTTTTGCACAGGGAGCTTGTTTGAAACCAACTAAACACTGCATACTCAGCTTGTTTCTTGAATTAAAAAAAAAAAAAAAAGTCTGTGGAAAAACAATGGATAAAGATACCTTTAGGGAAGCACCACTTTAGGCTTGTCCTCATGTATGTTAGAGAAAAAGGCTAGACATGCCAGTGAAAAAAGAAAATAAAAAAGCATAAACAATCTGTACTGAAATCCAGGGAATGAATGTTCCCGTTACCTAGCAGCAAAAAAATCAGTGAATGTAGCCAGAAAGGGAATTCATATATTTTATGATATAGTGCTATGAAATTTCTAATTGGCCTTTCCAAGTGACAACTCCTTAATGAGATACATCTGCACATTTTTATTTACACAATTTTTATTCCAACCGCAGCTCATGGTATCTTGGTAATTTCACTATGAATGGTTTTTATATGAAGCTAAGACAGGATGCTTTTGAAACTGAAGGGAAGGCTGAAACTGTACAAAGGCTATTTACTTTAATAACATGTAACAGATACAGGTATCTGGCAGGAGACTACTCAATCAAGACAAATTTCTAAAACAAACTTCAAATTCAGTTGTTAGCAAGAGTGAACTATTCTGCAAAGAAGATTGCTTAACAACTGTTAAGTTCCCATCCTCTTCACCACACCACTGGAATGCTGAGACTCTACCTAACAATGTCTGACATATCTGTTTGCTTTTTCTCCTCAGCGGACCCCAGAGTGAGCGAGCCAGTTTCTGGTAAGTGCTTGTCTCAAAGGGAACAAAAATACATGCTTTTCTAAACCAATTCACTAAGTAGGCATTGAAGAATTTATGTCATGATTCCACTTTGTCCACATAGTCATCTTCAAATATCACTCAGATGTGAAAGTTTACCTAAAACATTCAGTAACACTGAGAGCCTATAATGCTGAGAATAAACTGGTTATTTTAAAACCTTTCACTCATGTAGGTTAGCTCAAATTTTCAATCTAGCACTCATTTCCAGTTTTAATAACAAGTCACATAAAAGCAGCTGTCTAAATTGTATAATATGCTACAAAAAAGAAACTTGCATTTGCTCCTAAAGAAGCACCTATGACTACAGATGCTATTCAGTGTCTAAATGCGCTATTCTGAGATTTATCTCATTACTGACAGGAACTCATTTGTGATTTGTTTCAATTTTATATATTTGGGCTCCAATATTTAACACTGGGGAAAAAAGGTTCAGCAAGTTGACAACAAACTTTGCCAACTGTTTTTAAAGCTTTTAGGATAATTCTTTCATACCCAAGAGTCAGACTCTAAACTCAAACCATGCATTCTCTTTATGCAGCAGGGAGAGATGCCATCTGGACTGAAAGACCCTTTAATTCAGACTCTTACTCAGAATGTAAAGGCAAACAATACGTCAAAAGGACGTGGTATAAAAAGTTTGTTGGAGTACAGCTGTGCAACTCTCTCAGATACAAGATTTATTTGAGCGACTCTCTCACAGGTAAGCTGGGCTACCAGCTCTATATTGATTGAGCCTCTGCTTTCAGGGAATGTTTTGTTGCATTCCAAAACATGACCTTTCTATGAAGAATTACAGCCACTAGGGGGTGATGTAAACACAAGTGTTCCTCTGAGCAAAATGTTAGTAACACAATTACCATCATAGAAAACAGGATTTAAAGTCTCTTAATGAGTATATTTAACAATAATTATGAAAAAAATGAGGACTTTAAAATGCCAGAGAGCTTGCTCCATGCCCAGCAAGTTAAAATTTTCTACCTGCATACAGTAAAAAATTTTAGTATGTAAGACTGATCCATAAGACACAGAGGTATTTGTTCAATCATTGAAAAATACGTACCAATTACCTACTTTGTGTCAGAAACTTTTCTAGGTGTTGGGAGACAACTCAACAATCAAGACACATCCTGCTTTTGTGTGGCTTTTACCTCTCCTTTCCCTTCTCCGTAGGGAAGGATAGACCACAAATATGTAAGGCAATTTTTAAAAAGGGTGAGAGAGAATTAAGAAAAATTGGAAGCTCCTTAAGAATGGTTAGAGAAGGCCTCCCTGAAAAGGTAGTACTTGGCTAAGAAAATTTATGAGAAGGAAACAACCCCACAAAGATGTAAAGCATTTAGAGGAAGAGGAAAGAAAAAGGCCTGAGGCAGAACAAACCGGCCAGTGCCACTAGAGACATAGTATGGAGAGATCAGGCAGGCAGGTGGGAACTCACTGAGTTGCTTTGAAATCCAGCAACGACTTTGGGTTTGGCTCTGAGTAAAATGGAAGACTGCTGGAGAGACTTATGGAGGGGAGTAACATCTGACTTGTATATATAAAAGGTTACTAGTCTCTGAGAAAGGGGAAGAATATAGGAAGGCAAGAGTGAAGGCAGAGATAGCAGTTGGGAGGCTATTCCATAGTTCAGCAAAAGACATCGGTGGTTTGATAAGCCAGCCCAGTAGCCTAGTGGGTAAGGGACCCAGATTCCACATGGCCAACTGCAGTTTGAATCCCAATACTTGGTGATTTGAAAAACATGCCAGGTGTGTGTGTACGCATGGCCAAAATTCCAACAGAATGGAGAGGAGATTGTAATGTGAACACACCCCACCAGGGGTGGGGAGGTACCTTCTCTGTTTCTCCATCGTTCTCTGAAAAGCACATGTTCTCTCTGGCAATAGATAAATAAGGCACTGGTGGCTTGAAGTAGGGGGTAATAGAGAATAGGGCGAAAAACATTTAAGAACAGGAAAGATGATTTTTCAAAATAATTTATTTCAGAATTGTCAAATACCAAAGGAAATAACACTTTATTCTTCTAATGTCTGGTTCTTTAGGAAAATTTTATAACATAGGTGATCAGAGGGGCCATGGAGAAGATCACTGTCAGTTTGTGGATTCATTTTTAGATGGACGGACAGGACAGCAACTTACTTCCGACCAGTTACCCACTAAAGAAGGTATGTTTTCTGATGCACCTCATCAGCAAGAGGGTTTTACAGATTAATGCAGAAGGAAGTCATGTTGAGTAATCAATTTTAAATGACTTCTGTAAGACTACTGCTACTCTAATTAGCTAAAAAAAAAAAAAGTTTTAATAGAAGTTTCTCAACTCAGAAACTTGAAATTCAAGGGAAATTAGACATATAAATGCAGTTTACTTTTTAAAAATATGATTTGCAAAAACACCTATAAAAGAACAGTACTTCCTAAACTTAAATAAGTTTTGTATTACTTTTATGATGGTCATGCTGAACATATCTGCGTTTTTTTAAATTCCCTTAAGAAAAATCTTTAAGGGAAGCCTTACTACTACCATTAGTAGAATAGTATTTGCCTTATAAATAATTGTATAAATACAGTTAAAATAGTTCTGATTAACAACTGTTACCTATTAAACATACATTAACACCAAGCTGCATGCTCAAAAAAGACTAAAATTTAATCTGTCTAAGCAGTGAAGAAGGGGGTAAACTGTCCTTATTACTCAGGAATCACCAGGAGGGTCTTTAAGACTTTCAATTGCCTGATAAGGCTTTTTTCATTAATACATTTTGTTCTCTGGCACTGAAAACAACCATACTAAAAGATGACTTAATAAGATCTGTGAGCCTATTAATGGTCAGTGGAAGCTGCTCAGATAATACCAACTATCCCATCTTAACTTGCTAAGGCAAAGTTAGCCACTTCTCAGATGCCCATGATTTTAGTAGACTATTACGACCAAGGAAAGCCACCAACACCTGTTATCAGTTTTCTGTATTACTTTGCTTCACCCAGAATAGCCATCAGCCACTCAATGACATCTTTGAATCCATGAGCACTGTGAGTAAAAATATAGCAGCTATAAAAATTAAATTGTTTTCTCTCTTAGGCTATTTCAGAGCAGTCCGCCAGGAACCTGTTCAATTTGGAGAAATAGGTGGTCATACCCAAATCAATTACGTACAGTGGTATGAATGTGGGACTACAATCCCTGGAAAATGGTAGATGCTGCAACACGCTCGAAAGTATCTTCTGTGTCATCATAGGAAAAACAAACATTGGAAACACTACGGAATTTGTCACATTCATTTAAGGCTATTTTGTTTACTATGTATAAAAGTCTACAATCTAATTTACGGCAATATTAGATGTTTATTGTTAGGAAAGATTGCTGGAAATATTTATCAGGTTTTACAAAGTCATTTTAAGAAAGCAAGATATTGACATTAACAGAGTAACATTTTTGGGGAAGCTGGCTCCCTATTCATGATATTTTAAGAGATCATTTGTATATTATTTATCATAATGTTGTAATGATGTTTTGAGATACTTTTATATCAACATCAAAAAAACTTACTTTTAAAACCTTTTGCCGATGTATTCTCTTCCTACTGGTGAGTTCCATAAACCTCTAATTTAAATTATTGGATCAAATTAGCTTCATATACATTTGAAAAAAAAAAAGAGTTCTAATATTTGCATGTTCGTTTAAACTTCAATTTTCTTAGTAACAGGTGAACGGTGTTCTGGAGTTCAAAGCCCATGCTAAACTACATGTCCTTAAAATATCTGCAAATTATGGAAGATGTTTCAGTCAGTAAGTTTTATTTCAACTACAAATGAAGAACCTAATAGTTTTAGAAGATAACATTTTGTTTCTTCTCACCCATAATACTACAGTGACTGAATATACTTTACCAAACTATTCCTTTCAAGCAACCATCTTCATATTTTTATTATTTAATCAAGCTATATTCAGGGATTATGAAGTCTGAACACAAAAAGATAATGCATGAGATCCTTACCATTTTACAGAATATTTATACATTAAAACCTAAGAATGAATGTGTCAAAGGATGTTTTTTGTAATTGTGTAACTCAAGCTATAATGAAAGTTTGACTCATTTTTATTCAAAAAAAAAAAAAAGATATATATTGTGTTTTCCTTCAGCTGGGAGGGAGGTAGGACTGTTGCCCTCATTCTGAAAGGACATTTCTTTGTGCTTACCTCTCAACATGCTTCAATGCTACATTTTATATTTTTCAAACTACCTGCAATAAAAAAGATGTAGTTTTTTTTAAAGACTGCGTTTTTTGGTTCATTAGTAAGTAAGGACACCTTAATTGTCAAGAGGAAAAATCAGTTATTCACAATCTACTAACCCCCTCTTTTAAGTTAAACTTTCTATTTAAAGCAAGTCAGTACATTCTCTGAATGGAAATCTGTAAGTTGTTTATACCTTAAGACCAAACACCAATAAAGATTTCTGAAAAGTGACCTTTCCCCATGTATATGTATATTATTGACTGAATTAAACGACAAGATCACCAATGGATTCAATTATCTTTATTAACCTATCAATGTTACATTTTATACATAATATCTACTTTTCAAAGAGCGCTACTTTAGTACATCATGTTAATAGTAAAAAGCCAAGTAAGATGGCTAGATCTTGACTTAGCATTTTAACATCCTCTGGACAACAGAAACTAGAAAGTCAATCACTTTACACATATGTAAGAGTAGTGTTCCAAAATAACTAGAAAGCTGCTACATTTTTAAGCAGGGGAGGAAAAACTTTCATTTTGGTCTTTTTATGAGTGTTCCAGCAAATTATATTTTTCAATTTAACAGCAACAATGATATCATAAAAAAGGCTCTGCTTTTTAAATTTCTGAACTTGAATACAAACCAAAATAGTAGTATTGGAGTCTTTTGGGAGGCAAATAGCTAGCAGCTACATTCATCTGTGTAGCTGAGCTTCCTTATCGATAACCAGGTCCAGCTTGGGTATAGCCCTGACCAAAGGGAGGACGGTTACGTGCATAAGGGTTAGGCCCACTTGGAAGAGGGGTCATAGTACTTCCAGAAGGCGGAGTAAAACCTGGTCGTGGCTGATAGGCCCCAGGCTGGCTTGGAGCCATTCCAGGTTGAGAGGCAGGGGCCACAGTATAACTAGTAGGCTGAGAAGTTTGGGTGGAATAAGTTTGTGGAGGATAATTGCTCGCCTGGTACTGCTGGGGTGGTTGAGCAGGCAGCTGTTGAGGCTGACCAGAAAAGGCAGGAGCCGGTGCCTGGGAAGTTGGTTGCTGGCCATATCCCTGGAATTGCTGAGGTTGTTGGGGTCCAGTCTGCTGACTATAGCTTGCTGAAAAGGCAAAATAAATAACATATATGTCTTATTTCTCTTTTGGTGACAGTTTTCTAGAGAACTAGCCTTACTGTTATGGACCAAAAATGAGGAGAAACGTAACAAACTTGTTTACAAATAGTTTTGTAACAACTTTCATAAATCCTCTAATCTTAAATTGAAATTAATATAAATAGCTGTTTCTAGACTGTATTATAATCCCTTGGAGCAAATTCCTATTCTAGCATAATTCCTAGCATAGAGTAGATGCTCAAACAATAAATGAAGGAGTTATATTTTGTAGGCAGACCAAAACTGCAAAAGCTAAACAGTCATTAACCAGGTTTTGAAAGAAGACCTATTTAACAGTACCAAATAAAAACATTGCAGAAAATGGATATTTCTTAGTGGAACAATACTACAAATACTTATTATACTAAGATGCTTTAAAGTTTACTCACTCAATAAAAACTAGTAAGCCATTTAAGAATAAACACTAAATACCATTTTTCACAATCCTTAAAATCTTTCACTTCTTCTAGATTTGGTATCTGATGCTTTTGCCGTGATGACACAAAATTTTGACTTAGAAGCATAACACACAAAAAACATACTGTAATGCCCCACAAAAATCAACATCTATAGTCATTATTTACTAGGACATAATTGTTTTAAAAGAAAGTCTGCTTCACTGAAAACTTTTATCTCTACCATGAAACACACCTGCAGCTACTTGCAATGAAACCTCTCCATTGACTGGAATCCTGTCAGCATTAAATACCAGATACATAAGAAAATTATTAAAATATGTACAACCCTGCATTTAAATAACAAAAAGGATTGAATGAATTTGAGTACATTCTGAACTCACCTTGAACCTGGGTTCAAAATTTACTCATGAAAGAAACCTTTATGACACAGTCCATGAACAAAACTGGAAAAGGTCACAGAGGGAAACTGGCAAACCAACAGTGTCAATGATGGTCCAATGTCACCACCACCACCACCACCACCACCACCACCACCAAAGAGTCTCCAAGCAGAGTATTAGTTGACTATTTCCATATTTCTCAATCAAATTCAAAATAGGACTAGTAGGATCAGAAATACAAAGATAATAATTTGAAAAGAACTAGATTTTATTCAGAGTGAAGATGCTCACTGAAATTTCTAAGAGCAAGTTTAGTTATTAATAGGTAAATCATATATCTACAGCATTTTACTCATGGCACCATCTAAATAAATACTAAACTATCAATTGATGATAAATCTTGAATGTCACACTTCACCTGATATGTAAAACTTTTCATTTTAAACTTAAAGAGAAACAAATTGATCCAGCTTTATATAGAAAAAGTACATTCACTGTAAGACTGAGCAAAAAAAACAAAAAGCTGTCTTTATATCTTGCAACTGAAATCTATACATTTTTTTCTTTCAAAATTTAATCTGGAAGTGGCCAGATCCTTAATTATTCCTCAGGAGATGAATAAAAACTATAAAGTCTAAAGATGCCCTTTCATTAGGAGCTTCCTAGTCTTCTGATCTCAATGTGGCAATGAAGCTACTGTGTGTATAGTCTCCCACACCCCTACCAAAAAAAAAAAAGACATGGAAATTCTGTGGTTTTTCTGATTAAATGAATAGTCTGGGGAAGGGGTTATGTGGTTCCCAAAGCCTAAAATTATCTACCATCTAGCCTTTAATGGGAAAAGCCTGCCAACCCCGGCACTAGGTTTCAGAACACAGAATGATACAGGGAAGTATTTAACATCAAAATCAAGAGCACTAAGTCAAAGGCTGCATGTCCTTCAAGTTATAACTTCTTTGACCCTTAGTTTTCTCATTTATAAAGTGAGTGAGTGGGACAAGATCAGTGGTACCAACCCTGGCTACATATTAGAATGAACTATGATGTTTTAACATACCAAAGCCTGAGTCCCACCCCCAACCAAATCATACAAAATCTTTGGGAGTGGGGCACAGGCACCAAAAAGCTCTTCAGGTGACCCAAGAGCACACTGAAGGCTGAAACCTCTGAATTAGATGATGCTTCCATCTCTTGAGCTCTAACAGTCCATTATTTTATAAATCATATAATTTGAAACTCTTATTTTTTCTAATTTAAAAATACTATCCCCTTAACATCATAATCCAAGCTTAAATTCATTCTATCTTTTATATTCAACTAAAAACTTGCAGCTTAGGTTCGATAACTCTATAAAAACACAATCCAAATAAAATTGGTACATGTATTTAAGACACATCAAACTCCAATTAATGACAGAATTTTATGGTCTGAGTTAGGGGTGAGCAAACTTTTTTCTATAAAGGGCCAGAAAGTCAATATTGTAGGCTTAGTGAGCCACATGATCTCTGCTGCAACTAAACTGTGCCATCACAGTGCCCAAGCAGCAATGGACAGTACCGAAACGAATGGCGGTGGAAGTGTTCCAATAAAACCTCCTTCACAGAAACAGGTAACAGCTCAGATTTGGCATGTGGGATAAAGTGTGCTGAATCCTGCTCTAGATGATACTACGGAACTCAAGAAAATAAAGTTTAGGTAAGATTTAACTTACATAGATAATTTTTAATTACAGCAGAAATTGTGATATTTAAATTGCTGGGTGTAAAATAAGAAACAATAACTCACTCTGACATATTGTAGAAATTACCTGAAATATCCTGAATTATATCCAAAGCTACATTCAAGAGATTTACTGTATTTAAATACAGATAATCATCAGTGGACAGATGATAAAATGAAAAATACTCAGGATGCCTAGTTAAAATACCTAAACTTACTGTTACCCAAGAATCTTTTTCACAGTATTTTTTCATCTTTGATATTCCTACATATTCTCAAAAGACTTAAAACCTAAGTAGCTTAATTTAGTTCTTAATTAACAAGAGCACCTTTCCATGTATGAGGGAATTGTCAATATTTCTACTGGTACTAAGAGTACACTGAAAATAGCGTGCTACATATAAATAAGGGGAAAATTCTGCATTTTTTTTGTAGTTCTAAGTCACTTAAGTTGACCACCTTCGTAAGATAGTCTTTTATTACAAAGTTTTTTATACAAGTTTTTGTAGAATCTATATTTTTATTTGTCCAATAGAGAACTAAAATGTCAATTTACAATAAAATACTTATGTAAAAAATTTTAAGATAAATGTTGTCTCCCCTAGTAAATCTTAATACCTACTATGACAATGTATTAGAAATCAAGAAATTAAGAAGAACTTCAAGTTTAATGAGCACAGAAACAGATGGAAACTCCAATTCCCTCTGACACCCGCTCACCTGAATACTGAACACCGTACTGCTGCGGTGGGTGGTGCGGAGCCTGCGGCTGCTGGGCACCGTAGCCAGCCTGCTGTTGGTACTGTTGGTACATCTGACCTAAAAGGGAAACGCCAGAGAAAGAGGCGGGTTGAAGCTGGCAGAGAGAAGTATTTTTAAGTCATATTTACATTCCTTATAAACACATGAATAAACAGAGTATCAATATACAAGAACCTGTCTGTTTCTTTTTAAACTCTATGAAGAAGAATGAACAATTTAAGAAGTATGACCGCTCTGCTGTGGATAATCGCAGAGAACTCTAATTAGCAGCAAACACAATGTCATGTAAAACAGTGGCTACCACTGTATAAACTCTAGAAAAACTAATGTTTCAAACTCTACAAATGAATAGGTAAATACTGTTAAGGTTCAGTAAAAATCAAATGAGTTAAAATTCAATGAATAAAAACTGAGAAAAGGGACAAATACCAGGAAATAGTGCCTATATTTTGCCCAAAGCACTATTATTTGTCCTCTAGAGGTTTGGAACTGTTACCTAGTATGAACAGACCCTTTGTTAGCAAGGAACTACATGACATCTTGGTTCCAGAACTCAAGGACGCCGTTAGAGTTTGATTTTCTAAGAATACCCAACATCTGAACCAGTCACATGGAAAATGATAATATCTACATGGTTCTTCACTGTACTGATTAATAACAGAAAAGCTATTTAATACCAGGATGTGCTCTTAGACATGAAAGTCCTCCTATCTCCTAGATTGCAGTTCCTGGGCCAGCAGGTGGCATAGAAATTGAAGTGGCTGGATCTCACACAGCCAACTGTGTGGTTCGAGTCCCTG